CATACCAAATATCGTTTTTTAACTGTAAAAATAAAAAGTTATAGGGGTGAGCCACTTTTGAGACGTACCTGGTATACATATATTGATTGGTTCAATGATCTTCGATACCTAAAACGTCCCTTGCCGTAACCCTCTGAACCAGGGTCGCCACGTATGATATTTATCAAGAATATTACTTGATTTTGAGTATATACAGGTTGTGTTGTGTGTTTCCTACAATGTTCTCTATGGGTATCTCAGAAACTACTGGAGATAGAGATTCGATTAAATGGGGAAAGAATTGCAGTTTTGTGGGGTCATAAATATGCGCCTTTCAGATTTTTAAAAAAGTTCCAACGTGAGGGTGCAGCCACACTATCCTAAAAACGGCGTATCGGCGTAACGGCGTAATGACCTTGAATAGATTTCCAGTAATTCTATTGGCTGAAACATTCATCTGTCAGAAATTTTATCTGTCAAATTCATCTGTCAAAAATTTCAGCCAATAGAATTACTGGAAATCTATTCAAGGTCATTACGCCGTTACGCCGATACGCCGTTTTTAAGATAGTGTGGCTGCACCCTGACGGAGCTGCTGGATAGTCCTGGAGCTATGGCCGTAAGGCCAGACTACTACAAAATGACCTGTCCATGTTAAAGTCATTAAAAAAATAAAGAAGAAGAAATTCTATATCAAATCTGTGGTTACACATGTTTAGGACCAGAAGTATTGAAAAAAAGAAGAATATCACTTTAATTCTATGGTAACTCATCTTTTAAGCCCTGAAACATGAAAAGAAGAACGCCTGTGGTCATATATGTCAATTATTTTCAAAACAGCCAATGACGTGATGATGACGTGAAAAGATGGTGAAAAGTGCCGGCGGCGGCAAGTTTTAATGTGGAAGTTTTCTTGTCAATAATTGAATGAGTTATCCCCTGGCGAACATCTCCAAGAAAGATATCGTGTTAGAACTCGATGACCAAGCCAATTTCACCAGGATTGACGACGTTTTGAATTGACTGGAAAGCTTAATTATTAATATTAGGAACATTGATGTTATGTTAAGTAAAATTGCCTCTTAATATCAAAATGTAATGGAATCTGATTGAGATTATGAGGGATCTTATTAATTATAAGAACATTCAAAACGTCTACTTTAATTTGGGGGCTCAATATGTTTATTTTATTGTTATAGACATACACAGATAAAAGAAATAAAAGTTATAGCGACCTTTGTCTATGATAGAGACGAGAGAACCTGGCGCATTCGCCATTTCGTTAAAGCCTACTTATATGTAAGTCAATTAATATTTTGATAACTTCAAAGTAAATATTTATTATAAATTTAATGATCTCTTATTTGCTCGTAGTTATCCACATATTTATGGATATACATAAGTAGTTAGAAGAGAGTAAACAAATAAATTAATAACAAAAACAATACCAAGGTTGGATTGCATACAAAACTTTTAAAATATCCTTTATCAACTTTAGCTTATTTTAAATTAAGTCTATATGGTCAAGATTTAGGGGTATTATACCCCTCTAGATGATGTTACGTACCAGATAGCAGAGCTGTCAAAAATAGTTTAAAAAACGATTTAAATCTTAAATCAAAAATCTTTCCGTAGAAAATCAAATGATTTAAATTGAAAATTTCCGTTTAAGATCAAATGATTTAAATTGAAAAAAAGTATTTAAATCATAAAAAAAATTAAATCAAAAATTCTTATTGCAAGTGACAGCTCTGCCAGAAAATAAAACTACTAAAATATCTTTCACTTTATATACAGTATGGTCCCAATCGTATTCTGGAAATTCTGGCAGCATATTTTGCACATAAAAATTAGTAAAAAAGTTCGTGTAAACTTATGTTCTAAAATGCTTCGTTTCAGAGATACTAGGTGTAGAATTTTTATTTCGATTTTTTCAAAATAATTTTTGAACTAAAGTCGATATTTGGATGGAAATTGGGTTCTGGGTTTTTTTTTAACATAAGAAGTTTGATCTCAGTGCCAGTATGACCATAGAGTATGACTCTTACTTATTGACTACAAGCAGGAGTCATATTGACATCGAAGTCAAATTTTTCGTGTTAAACAAACCATGCATTAAAACATTTGTATTATTTAAGTCACTGTAATAACAGGGGGGGGGGGATTAAATGTTATCCAAAGAGATGTGAAGAAATTATAGGCAATGTGCCTAATGTCAATGATAAACATGAAATAAAAATGAAACTTCTACACCCTGTATCTCCAAAATTAAGCATTTTAACTATGTATTTCCTTTCCAGTGTTCAGCTTCAATTAAAACAATAACCAAGAGCTACTTCCTAAGCGATGCCTACATCACAGAAGTCCTAAAACAGACCAATCGCTTGTTCCAAAACGAACTTTTTGAAGCATGCACTACCAAAATTCAAGATATATGTGGAATCATTAATACAGAACGATACAAATATTCCTAAAAATGTGATTAAAAATTGACATTACATTCCTAATTTGTGAGATATCATAGGGGCTTGCAGGGCCTGTGCAAAACAAAGGTACGTTCAAACTGATCTGCAATCAAAAAGTTTATTATTACAACCAAGTGCTCTTATATTCGATCCAAGTAATTTAAGAACGCTAATGGAAAGACGTGATATTCCTGGTTTACTCCTTGGAGACAATGCATATAAATGTAGGCCATCTCTACTGACTCCTGTTCTACAGCTAGGTAGTCAACAAGAAGCCTGGTATAACTTTGCCCATAGAAGAAAAAAACAGCGAAATGCGTTTGAAAGGCTATTTTGGGACTGAAAAAAACGCTCTTCGATGTCCGAGTTAAAAAACTCTTGCTTTATTGTTCACAGCTGTTTCTTCATGCATACAGTTTTAAGGAAAATTTAATTAATTTTGGTTTTTTTTTTTTTTTTTTAAAATTATAAATAAAAAGGAAGAGAGTTAGATTTTTGAAGAAATCTTATTCAACATTTTGCAAATTAATGTATTTATTGTATTAATACACACACCGGAAAAGTCTAGGGATATTACAGTTTTATCCAACCATCGTCGATAATTTTATTATTTGCATTTCTAATATAATAAAATTAAAATAAACAAATAGTTTCCAGGACGTATTGGAAATATAAATGCGAAATTTACCTCGATTTTTATTGAACTCAAAAAAATACACACATTTTTTTTTATTCTAAACTGTGAATTAAAAGAAAAAAAGATATAAAACAATTTTTACTTAACAAAGTGTATGGCCTCCTCTACTGGTCATTACAGCCCTACCCGGGATATTATCATTCATTACATTAAAAACATAATTCATAATATTTTTGATATTTCTTATTGACGGTTTTAAATCTATGAATATTATATTATCTGAATTATCATGTCATTACATCCTTAGATTAACAATATGACATCCAAGCGGTTTAATTTTTTATATATAAAAAAAAAAAAAAAAAAAAAAACTGAGTTTATGTATTAAATTACTCTAAATTATGGTAAAATCTAGTAAAGAGGTAACAATAAATAACTACTTACGCAATCCACTTTAATTTATACAGAGTCTTATAGCAGATATCAATACGACAAAGGTAATAATAGTTAAACATTCAACAGTTTATCTGGTGTGTTATATTGCTTGCTATCAATTTTTCTAAAACAGATCAAATTACTGTATTAGAAAAATGTAGACACATATTTTTATGAAACTGCGATAGAGTTAATAAAGCTTTGGATCTTTGACTCTTCAGGAGATCTATTTGTAAATGCATTACAATATTTAATATTCTGTATTTTCATTGTTTTATTATTTTATGAATTGTCTGTAAGTTGTCAAAATACCGCCAAAAATTTGACAATATGCAATCTGATGGCAAGTTTCTAATTGAATGTATTAAATTTTACTTATTTGATATGATGCAAAAAATCAAAATGTTTTTACCAGATCACTTTTATTATGTCAATAAAAATGGCGCATCCGCCACAACAATTAAATGTAGTACTGGTTGCGCTGCACAACCGCCAACGCTATCCGCCAGAAATTAAAAGACTTTTCAGGCGCCATCTTTAGTCAAGTCGAGAAGAAAGGGAATCAGACAATAGAATTGTCTGTTATGAAGAAGTACGCTTTCCGAGAAATTGGAGAAATTTCGAGAAGCAGTCAATAGAGTATATAAGCCGGAGCTATCGACAACTGAGACAGTTTTTGAAATTTGAATATATCGCGTGGAAATTGAAAATCGGACAATTTGGTGAAGGAATCTTATAAATAGTTAGTTTGTTGTGTGTTATAAGTTAGTAATTGTGTATAAAGTGAGAAAATAAATTCGTTAAGTATTTTATCGTGAGTTTAAATTAGTGGACCCACGGAATCCGTAACAATATTAAGGACAGAATTTGTCTGTTTATTTTTTTTTAAATCATGTATAATTTAAATTTTGAAATAGAATGTACTGTGTCCTAGGCTAGGTTTAGGGGAGTTTCATGTTATTAAATTACTTTTTCTTTTCAAATGTAGTCTTCTATAGTGTTTTATTTTTGTATAATTCTGGTCTAATTCTATTGACAATGAAATTAGAGCTGTCTAAATCTATAATAAATTATGTTGCTATGAAATAAAAACAGATCTCTATCAAAAAAAGTTTTTTTTAACAGGTTTAATATTTTTATTCTATCTTGTGCGTTCCATTCCATGAGCAACATTTTTCAAAATAATGTTTATTTCATAGTTGGCATGAAAAAGGTAACTGTTTTTTTATATGTAAGTGAATTTCATCGGTCATCATTTCCAAGCCAACTTTGACTCCGCCGTTTTTTATCGTACGTACTTAATTCACAAGAATTTGATGATTAAATACATATATCTTAATAAAGTAATTATAAATATATTTATTCAGATATCATTTTAGACCTACATATATGGTAAAAAATATTAGCTTATAATTTCTTATTTATTATAAAATTATAGTATTTTCATTTTCATTCAAGTATCTATTTCTGTATTTTATTCTCATTCAAACCAATAAATTTATTTTAACAGATTTTATTGTTTTTTTTTAATTTTTGTTCCTGCATACAATATCATTGTAGAGAACCTTGTCTAAGAAATAAAAAAATCTCGAAATTTATGAAGCTGTAAGACAATACTTTCTTACCTGTAGTTTATATCACTATATTTTTTTTATTCGTATTTAATAGCATCCTATAAGCACTTATCACTACACTCCCCTCCCGAAAATTCAAAAAAAGATAAACGACAAACAATCCACAATACCTACAGTGCAGCTCTTACAGAGAACGTTAGTCCCTGCAGAGCTGCAGCTCTTACAGAGAACGTTAGTCCCTGAAAAGCTTGGGAGAAAAAAATTGAAACTCTGAACAACGACATGAACCAATGTGAACCTGTAAGACACTCGATGAAGACGAAGATAACCCGACGAAAATCTTCTAAAGACATCTACTTCAACTGACTCTACTGTGGTTCCTTGGAGGCTCATAAAAAGACTGATAGTACTAGAGCATCTTGACCTAATGCTGTAAGGAAAAATAGGAGTAGCAGAAAACGAGTGTCATAATTTGGCTTCGACATGACTCTGACCTGATACAGCTTCAAACGTAGCAGAACTTCCAATATATGTGAACCTATAAAACACGAATACCCTACAAAAATATTCTAGAGACATCGATTCAGACTGACTGCTGTGGTTCCCTGTAAGGCTCGTACCAATACCTGTAAAAATAGTAACAAAAAAAGACCACCTATACATAGAGTACTTATAAAACACAAGAACCCTACAACAATACTCTACAGACATCAACTCAAACTGGTTGCTGTGGTTCCCCGTAACGTTCATGCCATAGAATACCTGTAAAAATAGTAACAAAAAAGACCATATACATAGAGAATCTATAAAAAACAAGAGCCTTACAATAAAAAAAAATAAACTGGCTGCTGTGGTTCCCTGTAAGACTCGTACCAATATCTGTAAAAATAGTAACAAAAAAAGACCACCTATACATAGAGTACTTATAAAACACAAGAACCCTACAACGATATTCTACAGACATCAACTCAAACTGCTTGCTGTGGTCTGTGGTTCCCTGTAACGTTCATGCCATAGAATACCTGTAAAAATAGTAACAAAAAATACCATATACATATAGAGAACCTACAAAAAACAAGAGCCTTACAATAAAAAAAATAAACTGGCTGCTGTGGTTCCCTGTAAGACTCGTACCAATATCTGTAAAAATAGTAACAAAAAAAACCACCATATACATAGAGAACTTATAGAACACAAGAACCCTACAACAATATTCTACAGACATCAACTCAAACTGGTTGCTGTGGTTCCCTGTAACGTTCATGCCATAGAATACCTGTAAAAATAGTAACAAAAAATACCATATTCATATAGAACCTATAAAAAACAAGAGCCTTACAATAAAAAAAATAAACTGGCTGCTGTGGTTCCCTGTAAGGCTCGTCCAATACCTGTAAAAATGTACCAATACCTGTAAAAAAAACAAAAAAAGACCACCATATATATAGAGAACTTATAAAACACAAGAATATTATTCTGCAGACATCGACGCAAACTGGCTACTGTGGTGTCTTGTACGGCTCATACCTAAACCTGTAAAAAACAGTAACAAAAAAGACTACCAAATACATAGAAAAGACGTCAATTTGGCTTCGAAATGACTCTGACTTGTATACACGAACCCTACAAAAAGCATCTAAAGATGTGATGACTCAAACTGGAGGCTCATAGAGGCTATCAGTCTTTGTAGAGCTGGTGCCTATTTTTGTAAGAAAATAAACGAGATTTAGATATGTCCCTGTTAAGTTTTGGACCGCAAAAATTTAAACTTAAACTATGAATATTAAAATATTTTGATTGTATATTTTGAATTTCGAAATAATTAATAAATTTTATTGAATTGAAAATATAAAATAAATTAAAACACTTAGATCATTCATATTAAAAATTTAGTTATTGAAATGCTTAGATATTGACATGCGTTTACTCTAAAAAAGTAGAATAATAAATGAAAGTGAGTTAAAAAATTAGAAAGTTAAAGAAAGCTACCTACACCTACATGTTTAATTTGATAAAATGAAAATAATTGTCAGGCATTTTCTAGATTTTAATTTGGCCTAGATAATATGAAGAAAACTATAAGAACGCCAAATACATCCCTAAAAGAATAATCCGTTCTTCAAGATGACTCATAAATAGACCGTCAGACATAACAAACGACCCAAGGGACCTCTGCTGCTTTCGAGAGGAAAGCATTTTCTTTGCTTCTGTGAGGAGACTCCACAGAGGACGTTAGCCCCCGTGGAACTCAACCCAACGTGCTTCTGTGAGAACACTCATGCAGGGGACTTTAGCTCCTGCAGAGGTCGACTCAACACTCTGCTTTGCTTCTGTGAGGGGCCCCACAGGTGACTTTAGCTCCTGCAGGACCGCGCTCACGCCATCTCCAGAGAAATAAACGAACAACCAAATAAACCAGAAAAAAAGTACATTTAAAAAACTTACAGAGCACTCCCGACGATGTGCAGCCCTTGCATACGCTCACCAACCTGAAACAACAGAAAAAAATACGTTAGTTGAAAATAATAAAAAAAATATGTTACAACATACCTGATTTTATCTCGTTCCGGGCCCCATCCATAGATGCTACATCCTACTGTCCTTTTCCAGAAAAGCTTCGTTCCAGATCTGCACCAATCGCCGTACCTCATCAGAAACAGCCTTAAGGACAAGAGTACCTTAAGACAACAGTTAGTGAAGAAGGTACTACGACTGAGACCTTGCACATCGGACATCCCAAGGCCACAACAATTATAGATTTACTACTATAGGTAACAAGAAAGATATTAGGTGTCTTTAACAAGATAAATCTGTATAGAGAACTCTAGAGACAGAATAATAATAAATGAGGAAAATATGAGTTAATTTTATTTTGAATGAGAATTTACTTTATTCGAAAAAATACAATTAATGATGTGCTGAGTGATAATATTAAATATAATAAAAAATTTTAAATGTAAATGCAGTTACAGAATAATTAAAGAAAAAATAGTAAAATGATGATAGAAAATTAAGATTTATATTTTTTTTATATCCCCTACAGAAAAGAATATTATAATTTTTAAATGACAGAAAAAAATTAAGTGTAGAAAGGTCGTAGCTGTATAAAATATAATCAAAGTTTAAATAATAAAATTTGAAAACATAATTTAGCTTTCTATGTTGTAGGTTGTATGTATATTAAAACATATTTTAATGATAACTTCAAGGTTCTCTAGAAAATTACCAATTCTTGATATTATCAGCTAATTAAGATTCTAATTTTTGAATATTACATTTTATTTTAAAAGAAAATATTAAATCTAGTTTAAAATTACTCAAAATAAAAATTATGCCCTTTAGAATTTTTAGAAAGAATCTTAAAAATGAGCCCTTTAGAATTTTTAGAAAGAATCTTAAAAATGATGATGGGAGTAGAGAAATTATTGTTTTAAATTTAGTTTAAAATTACAGAAAATAAAAATTATGCTCTTTAGAATTTTTTGACAGAATCTAATCCCAAATAACACTGAACAGAGAACACTAAAATAAGAAAGGCTGTGAACCTCTACTATCTTAGCACTCCCCATTCAACGCTACTAAGACTAAATAAAAATAAAATAAAAACAATGGTTTTTGTGATAATAGGCACATATTCAATTAAACTTTGAGCAAAAAATGTGTTTTCGGTAACAAATAAAAAATAACAGAGTAAAAGTCAAATTAGGTTTAAATCATTTTGAGAAATAGACACCTCAAAAAAAAATCGAAGGTATTATTTCTTGTGATTTTAACAAACGACAAGAAATACGAAACATTATGTGATTCGAAACAAACAAGTTAAGAACGGAAATAAAGTGTGACCTTAAAATGCTGTGAAAAGCCTTAGAACAGTTCCAGAACCACGAACCGACGCGACCAGCATGCTGAAACAATCATAAAAAGATCAGTAAAGATGCTCAAGCTGATCTGTTTTTTTTATGGTTCACCCTATATACCAACGAGTACCAAAAAATTTAAATAACTATTTAATAAAAAATTATTTAAATAATTATATATTAAGCTATAATAGACATTTATCTATGTTTATTATTTAAATAATTTTATATTAAGCTATAAAGAAAGGGTATAATAAATACAAAATTAAAATAAAATAGCATCACATTAAAAAAATATAATGAAATTATATCATTCAAATCAGCTAATAATTTCTCTTAAAAATTTCTTTACTTAGGATAAAAAACAGTAAAATTTGTAAATCTTAGTGTGATCTGTTGTTGAAAAAGTGGGTGAATAATATTGTGATTTTGGTTCACTCATACCTATGACAGCCAAAAAATTGTTAACAAGAAACTTAAATAACTGCTTAAAAATAAAATTATATAATATACATATATTGTAATTTTGCATTTAAAAATAAATATAGATAAAAGTAATAAAGACATGCAGAGTGTAATAAATAAAAAATTGCAATAAAATAGCAATATTTTAAGAAAATTTAATGAAATTATCTCTCCCTTTCTCACACATTGAAACCAGCTGATAAAATCCCTTAAAAATGTCTACACAAAATATTCTAAAAATACTATACTTAAAAAATATACATAATTTCATAATAATTAGGAATAGTCAAAAAATTAATAAAAATTCAGTAAAATACTTGAAAATGTCAGTAGGTATGATCTGTTTGTGAAAAAGTGAGTGAATAATATTGTGATTTTGGTTCATCCTATACACCTTTCTGTCAAGAAAATTGTTACCAAGAGATTTAAATAACTATTTAATAAAAAAAACTATTTAAAAATAAATATATAGATATAAGTCTTAAAGGATGATTATAATAAATAAAAAATACAATAAAATAGTATTATTCTTAAAAAGAATACGAATGAATATCAGATTTACCTGTATATTAATAAAAAAAAGTAAAAAACGTTAAAATTGTTACCAAGAAAATTTTAAATAACATTTAATAAATTACTTAGTATAAATTACATATAGAATATAATTCATAAAGAAATGAGTAAGTTAAATGAAAGAATAAAATATATAGCAGTGTTTTAAATAATCCAATAAAATATCACCAGGATATTAATACTATAACCCTCCTTCAGAAAAATGTTACAAAAAATTAAATAACTCTATTTAATACACACACTTTATTAAAATAGTAGATATATAGTCATGAAAGAATGAGTATAGTAACATAAAAAATACAATACAATAGAGATTATTTTAAATGAATCCAATGAAATTATAATACTGAAATATGTTAAGAAAAGAAACACAAAATAATGTACAAATTTTCTGTAGCAAATTAGTCTAGAGTTGACAAATTAATAAAATATAGTAAATTAATTGAAAAACTGGAGAGAAGCAACAAAAAATTATTACAGTTTACATAAAATAAAGCGAATAGCCTCTAATATAATATAAAATGTAGTGAAATTAGCAACACAAAATTTACTAGTTTCAGAAAAACTATCAATTAACCACCTATATTAAAATGTTCTAAATGTTTATTGTGGTATATAATCATTGAGGCCATAAATGTAATTTGTATAAAAATCTAATCTAATACACCTAAATGAGTATTTTAAATAAATAAGGATAAATAATGTCTTGGGATAAAATATCTTGAGAAAAAAATTATAAAACTAAAAACAGGAAAGAGAATTTTAATTTTAGCATTTAAGGACTGGTTTTTCAGAAAAAAATAGTTTTTTTTTTGTTTTTTTTAAAATAGTTATTTTCATATAAATATTTCACTAATATAAAGCACATACGCAAGATACTAATTCTGTGTTTTACAGCTTTGTAAACTTTATTTAGATTATCTTAATAAAAAAAATTAGTACCTAAGTACTCTTCTGTTATATAATCTTGACAATGGGTCTTATGAATAAGAGTAAGCAATGTTTTTACTTAAATTTCCTGAATAACTTATACGATTTGTAAAAAACCAACAAATATAGTTCTATAGAAAAAGCAATTGCTTCTCTTTATCCATCAGGCCCAATATCCTTAAAAAAAAATCAAGTGACTTATACTAGTAGAAATAGTTACAGAAAATGGATCACTATAATTACTTCCACTTACTTTTTCTGTCAAAATACTATAATACATCAAACATGTCTAAAATGATTTATTTTAATGCTCACAACTATAAAAAAGCTTAAAAAACTCTAAATCCACCAGAAATTATATAAAATCTACTTGTAGCAACAGAAAGTACTATCCAACAAAAAAATGTAAACAGAAAGAAATGGAATTTAACAAAAACAAATAGGCAGCTTTGACTTTTTTTGTTGATATGGCCGTTCCTTTCTACCAATATAATTGCGCATTTACAAGGGGCCCAAGGGGGTCGGATATTTCGCAAAAATATCGGGAAATTCGTAGAAAAATGGTCGTACTTACCCTCTATAAGAGCTCAGCTGGGCACTAAACGCAATTTCCAGGCACAGTTTGTAAGGAAACGCACTTTTCACACCCGCACACACACAAATTCTGGAGAGCGAACGAGCGTAGATACTACCTCTGCGAGAATGCTATCAACACTAACGCGATCCTGATAAGGATCGACCTATTTGGACCAATGATATCGAGTATTGGCGCTCGGTTCCCGATTTTCGCCGCTAGAGGCAGCGCCAAAGAAAAAAAAAAGTACCGTTTTTCTTCTGTTTTTTTGCCGATAATGTGTAATTTTATGGCCAAATTTTCAACTTAAACGGGAAATTTAGCAATATAAAGCTAGATTGGAGACAAAACTACTACCAGGAAAATATAGCTACATGTGTCCCGAATAAAATGACCCTACACAATAACGAATAAAGTAAAAATTTATCAAATAAATATTTGATTGAAAAGAAACAAAATTTCACAAATTTTCTTTATTATCGTGAAACAATTTTCCTTTAAAATTTCGTTTAAAACCGGAAAAGCGAGGTTTGAGGATTAGTAGATTATCCAGTAAATAATCTCTAACTATGCGTTTCAGCAGTTGAAACTTTATCTAACGTAATTAAATTAGTAAGGAATTACTAAAACATATCTGTGTGGCGTCCCATTAGCCTTTTGGAGAATTCGAATAAATTATCACTTTGTGTTCGATACATTAATTCGTTTTTTCTAATAAGGTAATATTTAGCTAAAAGAGTCTATTATTACCTAAGTAGATTATATAAGACACGATAGTAATACCGCAAAATATAACTCCTGCAAGACATTTTTTTAGCCAATGTAATGGCCGGTAATGGCCAAGCTTGTTTAACTTTTATTTGCTTGAAAATATTAAAAAACTCTTTAAACATATAATTCTGAGATAAGCTATATTATGTTTTTGTAGTCTTTTTTAACAATTAGAACTCAAGCCCCAAAACCAGCTAAAAATCTATTAACCTCTTTAAAATTAAAAATATTTCCAAACAATATGGTGGAGGTTCAGTAGTATCGACAAAATATTTCAATGAATATAAATCTTGTTTCATTAGAGGATATTCATAAAATGATTTATTTTAAAAAAAAAAAAAAAAAAAAAAAAAAATATAAGAAAAAGATGGTAATATTCCAATACATAACTTCTACAAGACATTTTGTTAGGAAATGTAATGGCCAAGAATTTTTGCTTTTTTTTTTTTTTTTTTTTTTTTTTCTCGAAAAAACCTCATTGACATGTTCCCTACCTATGCTAGTTTATGTTTTCTGTAGTTTTTAGAAACTATTTTCATGCCCCAAAACAATACAAGAGTAAACAAGAATTTGTTGACTCTTCGATACAAAATTTGTTCGATAAAAGCTTCGATCAGTATGTATAAACAGGATGCTTCCAATATATAGCCTAAAACAATACAGGGTATGATTTATCATGTGGGTCTTTTTAAGAAAAAGCTCCAATATAAACATGGGATTTAAAGTATTTCCTTTCTGATCTACAGGATGTTTTAAATCTAAATAAAAAAAATCGTTACATATAAATAATGACAGGACAATTACTCGGAGAGTACTCTTTAGATTATTTTCTTCAATTTTGGTATGCGATTTACAGGTAGAAAGTGGTTTGATTCCATGAAGTGGTGTTTTCCTACCTGAACCAGTGACGTACGTACGCTCACCCCCCGGACTATTTGATTAAAATCAATAGTACGCCAGGGTTTTTTTTAAACATTTTTCTCTCGATCTTGCTTTTTTAACAAAATTGATCTCTAGAGTTTTTCTTGTACATGGCACGGTTTTCGAGAAAAAAATAAATAAATCAACTACATTGCATATCTCCAAATCGCTACAGTTTAGTTTTTCTCAAAAGCCGTTCAACGTACAGGAAAAACTCAAGAGATGAATATTGTTAAAAAAGTACTGAAAATCACGAAAAAGAACTTGTTTTCTCGAAAAGACGCAGCGGCGTACAAAAAAGGTGGCACTTGAGCCGGTCCCACACGAAGTGCCAAACACCTTCCAACAATGGACAAATGAACATTTGTAGGAGACGCACTTGTGAATTACAATATTTTCGAAGCCTATGCCAAAGGATGCGTCCAATGTTGGTTCCAACGTTGGAAGCATCGTGTAGGACCGACTTTACAGACCCCACGTTCATATAAACTTTTTTCTTGACAACAAAATATAATGAATCACGCCCTAATATTTTTAGACGATTTTAGAAACACCCTGTATAAGAAAATAACTCGTTTTACTATAAAAATAAAAAAATAATAAAAATAAAATGAAATAAAATCACCTTGAATACACATAGATTTTTATATACAACAAAATTTACTAGTAACTATACAAGAGAGAAATATTATAAAAAATCCTCTATAAAATTGACAATTAGAAGATATTATGTTTGTTGATGTAAAATTATGATAAACAGTATGCAATATTCTTAAAAACCGCTGGTATATAACTGTTTAAAAAATCATTTTTGGTATTGAAACACCTGAATTTTCTAGGGATGCCATATGAAGATGGCATGGATTGTTTTAAAATCCATTTTATTCTTGTTGGTTTAAGCACAAAATCAGTAAAGACAATGAAAATGTTGAAGTCATTACTAGTCCAAATGAATTTTCTTGCAAGGCCATCAAAGCAAAAGGCGCGGAGATCTTGGAAATAGAGGATAAGTTTCTGAATGATGATATTTTTCAAAATTAAATTTTTTATTGATTAAAATTAATTCAAAATATTAAAAATAAAAATTAAAATTAAAATATTAATAAATAATTAAAATATTTTTCCTATTTTCTTTAGTTAATTATTTTCTAAGATTTATTTTTTACCAAAGAATTAGTAGAGTATGTTATGTTTTTTAGTTATTAATAAAGTTATAATATGTTGTTATTTAAATACAGGGCGGTCCGAACTGTATTCCGGAAACTTCGGCAGCATATTCTGCACATAAAAATAAGTAAAAAAGTTGGTATAAATTTATGTCCTAAAATGCTTAGTTTCGGAGATACAGGGTGTAGAAGTTTCTTTTTACCAAGAAACATTTTTTACGTAGAAAAGGCACAAATGTATATTTTTTCACTCAGTAGTGTAATACAGAGACGAACGAAAAGTTATTACTCTTCAAAACGGTTGGTTAAACATCGACATTGAAATCAAATTTTTCATGTTAAAGAACCCCCAGATACTAATTTTCATCTAAATGCCGAATTTAGTTTAGAAATTATTGGGAAAAAATCGAAATAAAATTTCTACACCCTGTATTTCCGAAACGAAGCATTTTAGGACATAAATTCATACAAACTTTTTTTACTTATTTTTATGTGCGGAATATGCTGCCGAAGTTACCCTGTATAAAAAATAACTGGATAATAGTTAAGTGCTGCTTCACAACCAAGTTTCTTGAATAATTTAAATTAATACTAAATTTACAAACACTTGCAAAAGATCAGAATTATTTAAAATGAACTTGCAATAAAATAGCACAGCAAGATACAGGGTGCCTCAAAAAAAATAAAAAAAAAGTTTTTTAAACGCCCTGTATACAGAGAGTTTCTGATATTTTCTTGGGTGATTTCTGACATATTTTTAAGCTGGAAAGTTCATATAAACACTTGTTCTAAAATGCTTCGTTTTCGAGATACAGGGTGTCAACGATTTTTCGCCAATTCCGCCATGCATTAAAATGATTTTGATTTTGTTAATCAAAATCCGTGCGTTTGACAAAAAAAGCCAAGACACATAATTTGTTCCAAAAAGACTGGGAATTTTAGAAATAATTCTTATTTTAGTGAAAAATCGTGACGTACCATTTTTTCTTCAAAAATATTCAGTCGAGACGCCGTTATGTACGAACGTCGCTGGTGAAAATTTGGGAAAATATTTTTTCAATGAAAAATGACCCTTAATTGTAAGGCGACCCATGTACTAAACTTCATAAAAATATCTGCAGTGGCTCGGAAGACATTATAAAAAAAACATTTTTTTCCCAAAATTTATGACACCATGTATCTCACGAACAAATCGTTTAGAACAGTTTTTACCTTAAAAATATCTGAGAACTCACGCTGTGGCACTTCAATCAAAAACACTCTCTATATTATGGTTTTTCAACACAGATTTTCTCTATACAATGCAATATGATTATTTAATTATCTTCAATGCTTATATGGTAAAAACTACTTTTTGTGTTCAACAGATGTTTTCTCTTCTCCATGCGACTGATCCCTCTTCACCACGTGAATCATCCTGAGCATGAGCACCGCTAAAATGGCGTCCAGTGATCTAATGGTTGCACCAGTCCAACTGATCTAATAATCAATCTAATCAATCTAATGGTTCAATTCCATTCTCCAGCAAGACGTCGATCAAATTGATGTAATATTTAATTCCAGCTGCACTTACGCTCATACTATAGCCATCGGGTAATATTCTGGTACAAGACAAAGAAAATCTAAATGAGATTAATCTTAAAATACATAATTCAATAATATCATCAATTTTTTACATTACCTGTAAAAATGAACGCTCATATTTCACAGAATTTCAACGTCCTCTTTCCAGAGATGGTAAGAATCGCAATCCACATCCCCATTTGATCCCTCTTATTTAATCTTGCTGGGTTTGATAGCGGTGTACCGATCCCATATGCTTTCCCCTTGGCCTAAAAATATTTTTGTACACCTTAATAATCTTCTTTATTTTCAGAAAATCATACCTTATTACAGATATAAAAAATTGGATTCAGTAAAAATGAGAATACCAAAGTTGCCAAAGTCCATTTCCTGGATGTCTTTACTTACTAGGGGGTTGAGATGAATTTGCCTAAAATTAAAAATATTATTTTGTTAATTAATTATTTATTAAATGTATCTAACCAACAACAAACTATTGAAACTATAGTTTTAACATCTTCTTTCCGTTTAACAACTTTTTCCTTGTTATCTTTGAGTCTCTTCTCATTTTGGAGTTGGGTAAATTGTTTGTATGCTAGTCTATATGCTTTATATTCTTTTATATACTTTGATTCAGACATAAAAAATTAGATTAAAATATGGTAATTTTTACCTCTCTCTATCTTGCTCAGCTGCATCCAAGTATTGCTGTTTCTCATCAAAGGTAAGTTACTCCATTCGCTAGCTACATTCTTAGTAAATATCAGCAAATGTGAGCGATGGATTGGAAGTCGTGACAGCTTCCCTGCGGTCATTCAAACATCGAATATATCAAAACATTGAGCCACCATCTCTGGAGAACCACAGTTTTATTTCTTTTAACTTATACACACTTATATACTTATACATTCTATGAATTCCATCTTAGGTGTAATTTTATCTATGTATTTACTTAAAATGTAAAACTCCGTCTACTATAACTAGAATAAAAATTTCTTTTTTTTAAAATAACATTACCTATAGGTATACGTTATTAAGTAATCCTGTATCGGAAAAATGTTGAGAATCAAACAAGAGTCGAATTATAAAACTTTATAATAAACTTTAAAGTAGAAAAATATTAAATTAATAGTATAAGTAATTAATGAAATAAAAATTAAGGTTAAACATCAAAGTATACTATTCAGTGTCTGATGATGAACTCATATCTAGGGAATAATATTTTTCCCATGAAGTCTTTCCTCTGCTTGTTGTAGGCTCATTATGATCACTCTCAGCAATTCGTTTGCTTATACCTTGCTCAGTATGTTGACTGTTTCTAGATTGTGATTGACTGTTTCTAGATTTTGATTGACTGTTTCTAGGGTTCACCGGTTGGTTCACCATCCTTTTTTTATTCGTTGCCACTTTCGATACATTCTCCAACAAACTTTTAATTGTAATTCTTTCATCTGGTGTAAGCTCGTACTCTGGCCTACATACCAACGAATCTTTTACTATAAGTCATGATATAAACAGATATAATAACGCACCTTGCTAAATCGAGTACAATCCCGCGGCGCCAGCGATTCTTCATGCTTTGCCAGGTTCTACCTGGCAGCAAGTTTAGCTCTTCTAGTTCTATCCAGACTAGATTGCCCATGGACCACGATACATAGTGCTTGTCGAGCATATACATTAATATCTTTTTGTCTTCTTCAAGGGTGTAAGGAGGACCCGGCATTTTCAGCCAACACGAACCGCTATACGCAAACAATAACAAATAAATTGTTTATACAGAATATCTAGAGAAAATTTTAAATAATAATACTGAATATTGTGTAGTTATTTATGACTGGATAAACTAGTTTTTTAAATGATAAATTTGAAAACTTTTCTCATACCAATGAGATTATCTCTCATACACATACGGCTTCTGACACTTGGATAAATTTTAGAAATTGGCGCCAAAGTTGACAAATATGACATTATTCTTCTTTCGTAAAGTAGTGCTAAAGCGTCTCTTTTTTGCTGCTATGGCTAATCTGGACAATGCCTAGTTTATTTACGCGGAATCCGAACTGCGGTTCTCAGTCGAATCGCCAGCACCAACTCTATTACTTTCTAATATGACATCATATTCTAGGGCCCAATAGCCAATAGCCAACTTCCAATCTCATCTTCCAAATTCCAAATCAGCTGACCTATTTATTTATTATTCTGGCGCTAGCATCTTTATAAACAAACCAAATATTCAGAGATCTGCAAATATGTTAATTATTTGAATGAATTATAATGTTATGTTAATAGCGTTTAATTAAATAGATTTACGTTTAAATATATTTATTTAAACGTAAACATAAATATTGTAACGTCTAGACTTTAGTTATCTCTTACTTGAAGAATCAACGCCTTAAATGAACTTCACTCTAAGAATATTAAAGTGTATTATACGCCTCGGGCTATTGGAAAGTCTGAGGGTGCATCCACACTTTAACTTAGATCATCTGAGATACAAATACAATGTAGTAATTAATAGCAGAGTTATTAGTAATGTATACGGGGATAAAACTGTTAACATTTACTTTATTGCACATTACAGATTACATTAATTAGACATTACATTTGTTTAATACGTAGCAAAATTCTTTTTGTAGACATACGAGGCTGCAATATGCTCTGCGAACTTCTTATGGAACTCTACAGTAACCCATCTGATGTTATAACAATAAATAAACTTTTTACCCAGGAATTCTTTAAGATGTCCAATTATCTTAACATATCTTCCCACGGACGATTTGTCGAAGTATATCGGTACCTCCCGGTTGTTTTCTAGACCAAAAACGACATCCCTATACTTGAATGTTTTGGGAGCTTTGGTGGGCAAGTTAACCACACAAAGAATACTGGCAGTACCGTCATGTACAGCCAGTCTATAATGGTCATCGTCCTCGTCTCTCTTCTCAACCACCTGGATGCGTGCAGATAGAATGACTCTAGAAAATGGCACGCCATTGGATATAAATTTTTCACTGTAAGAATTTGCCTTCTTCATATCGTGTAAGTCTTTAATAAAATAGAATCCGATATGGTATTGCAGCCTACTGTAGACCACTTCTTTAAACGGTTCTTTATATACGCCAGATCCAGAAGCAGGAGGATCTTCATCTTCCGGATCATCTTGGGGTAAAGTTTTCCAGTCTAAACCATCTAAATCTTTCGGATCGCAAGACTGGTCTTTTTCGCATACCGCTACTTTTGTTTCGCCCTCACGAATTACTGTTATAACACACTGACCATCTTTAAACATATCTTCTAACCATGTAGTTTGATTATTGTTTCCAGACATTGTACTGAGAAAACTTGTGTAACCGCTAAAAATTTAACTTTTGAATAAAGATAACGATATAATAGGTTAATACCATTTAATACCTTTAAACAAACCACTAATACCTTCAAATAAACCAACCAACTAAACTTTTAACCACCTATTAACTTTCTCTATGTGGGAAACTGTTTTCTGATAAAAGACAAAAAACATAGGACAAAAAATTATTGAGGCATCCATACAAAAAATTAATGACAAAAAACTTGTCTTCTATACCATAGATTTTTAAATATGGCGGGAAATGTTCGGTTTCCCGCCAAATCTTCTTTATTCCACGCCGATAGACAGTTGCCTTTGCCGAAGACCGCGGTTCGGATTCCGCGTAAACAAAGTAGACCCCGTCCAGATTAGCCCTAGTAGCAAAGAGGAGAAATTAACTGGGAAGAAATTGAAAGAAGAATAGCTGTCATATTTGTCAATTTTCAAAACAGCCAATGACGTGAAAAGTGCCGGCGGCGGCAAGTTTTAATGTGGGAGGTGGAAGTTTTCCTAGCGAACATCTCCAAGAAAGATCTCATATTAGAACTCAATGACCAAGCCAATTTCACCAGGATTGACCACGTTTTGAGTTGACTGGAAAGCTTTATAATTAACATTAAGAACATTGATATTATCCTATTATGTTAAGCAAGATTGCCTCTTAATATCAAAATGTGATTGGATCTGATTGGGATTATGAAGGATCTCATTAATTATAAACACATTCAAAACGTTTACTTTAACTTGGTGGCTTCAATATGTTTATTTTATTGTTATAGACATATTTATCAAATATAGAAAAGGATAAAAGACTTATAATATAAAATTTATAGAGACCTTTGTGATTTTGTCTATGAGACGAGAGAACCTGGCGCATTCGCCATTTCGTTAAAGCCTATTTGTAAATCAATTAATATTTTGATAACTTCAAAGTAAATATTTATTATAAATTTAATGGTCTCTTATTTGCTCGTAGTTATCCACATATTTTTGGATATAAGTAGTTAGGAGAAGAGAGTAAACAAATTAAAAAACTACTAAAATATCTTTCACTTTTATAGCTAATGTCGATATTTATAATTTTTTTTTATATATGTTCATTAATAGAATCCCAATACAAAAAATCCATGGAAAGCAAAGGTAGAGCTATTAAGTTCACGAAGATTATTCTTAGGATATAATTGTAAGCAGTGAATAATTCTAGTTAATAAATATATACTATATATATACCTAGTTACATTTAAAAATTTTAATAATCCTGCGCATCCGCCATTTTCTCCACAAGTATTTAAGTTTCCTTAAAATTTAGCGACTACAAAAAATGGTTTTTACTTTTAATTAGCTCGAATTAAATTTCTTTTTGCTTTTAAATCTACACGTATATTACTAAAACCTGCTAACAAACAGAAATATGTTTAATTATTTAATTGTTTTGCTTTGTAAAACAGATTTAAAAGGCGCGTCAATATCTATATATTATTATTTATTATACAAAAATTATTCAGGAATTGTATCAAGATTACTATATTTTGAATATGAGTTCGACTGTAGCAATAAAGTACAGAGATTGTTAAGTATCACTGCCGTTCTTCACTTTACTCAAGAAAACTGAAACACGGATTATCCTGGGTTGTGTTTTCCTTCATGTGGCAAGGTATCGTTTGCCTTCGATTTTTCAGAAGAGTTTAGGAAATTGACCCTCTGTTGGTATTCCGCCACGCTTTCCGCTCCTGGCAGATCCTCCAAACCTTTCTTGGGCATGTAGTTGAGCATGGCGAACGTGTTGAACACCTCCACAGGAATAGTACTGACGTGTGTCGTTGGTTTCGTCTGACAAACGTCCCTGATCTCGTTTTTGGACACCGTCGCCTCCTCTGGGTACTTGTTCCTCATTCCGCTGTAGCTTATTTTGGACGAGAGGAACGACCACATCGCGCTGCCTACCGACAGCACTACAATGTTCACTTGTAGCGGAAGCGATATGGGAAACAGGTCTTTGCTACTTTCCGAATAGTCTTCGTATCGGTCGAACTTGATAACAAACGAAGTTAGGCAGGATATCAGTAGAGATATGCCGGAAGTGAGAGTTGACAAAATGCAGGTGAGGAAGAAAAATGTTATGTTGGTATCGATGTACCAGCGTTTCCAAGCCAAAACGCCCATTACTGTAGCCAGTACCTGTCCAAAAGCCATCAGAAAGCAGCCCACGGACTCCAACACCGGCACGTTTATGTAGTAATGCAAATAAGTTTTATCATTATTGTGTCTGAAATCTGTCTCCACTTTTTCGTTAAGCCTCTCGAAAGAACTGTTATTTTCTTCCTGTATATTTCTCAGGACCGTCGTCTTGTAAATGATCAAAGCTCCCATGAGCACCGAGCATAGACTCAGATGGAGAAAAACTACGCTTAAGCCAAGGACCAAGGATGACGAGTATCGTCTTTCTGAAGGATACTGGTTGTGTTGTGCCGGTCTAGTCTTGGTTTTGATCTTAAAAATCCGTTCCATGACGTAGAGGAGTTCACATGCCGCAATCCTAGACAAAAGAGAAATTATTTTTTAAAATTTAAAATTAACAGGACTGGACAGTTCAAAATTTGAATGGGATTTCCTATGTTTCCAACGACGGGATGCACCACCCGGTATAACTATATAGTTTTATCAATTGTTTTTTCAGTATTTCCCTACCTTCACTAGAGATGAAATACGACACTTTTTGCAAGGCCAATTACTTGAAATCATAATGCAATAATGCATAAATATCTTAGATAATTTTGATTTTTAAATGCGTTTAAATTGTGTAGGATTATTCGTAAAAGAATCTTGAAGCTTAAAAAATTGAATTACAATACTGTTATAGTCTTCGTGTACTCAATATAGCTGTTTAATATGCAAGTCACAAGACATCCGGCGTATGATTGTAAAAAATATTATGGAAAGGCTTCAATAATAAAATAAGCCTTATTTTCGATCTAAATTTATTACATATACAGGGTGGCCCATTAGTGCGAGAAAGAAAGCCTGTCGAGTCCATCTTTACAAAAAATGGGGAAGTTGTGCAATTTGAAAAAAAAACGTGTAAAACTTTATCATAACTCTTTCTGGCACACCCTGTATACAACAAAATATTTTAGTGTGTGCCTCTTTAGCAACATCCAACATCTGTATAAAGAAAATAATGTCTTCGGCAGCGACGACGGTATTGGCACCGGTATTGGACTTCCTCGCACTATTGCATGGCCCACCCTGTATTATTAAATTACCCCTTATATTTTTTATAAAGGTTTATAACATAAACTTCACTAAAAAACTAGTAACAATTCATATACCTATCTACGATATCTAAGAATTAATAAGAGAGAACAATAAATACCGTTTAAAAGAAATAGTATGTAAGAAGACGTAGGTACATTGAAACCGTTTTTGAGTCAGTCGAGCGAAAATGGCTAAGCATTTTCTTTTTACTACTTAGACGAACAGGGTCACACGAATGGCTTTATCATGTCAATTTTTTAATTAAATAAAATGCATTACTTCCCAATTTGCTTTCTACTAAAATAGCTCTGAAAATCTTACGTGCGAAAAAAAAACAAAAAAGTTATTATCATCAGTTATTATATTAATGATCTATTGTAGTAACTTATCGAAAAATTTTTACATGGCGTTATCAAAAGAGCATGTGATTTGTTTTTCCTTTAAATAAAATAATAAATCCTATTGTATAATGTATATAACATCTCGCCAGTTAGTTTATGGTGTATCATAATTCTTATTTAATTATTTACCAAAATATAATAAAACAACGCGAAGCAGTAAACAGTACGTACTGGAATATGGTATATAAAATGCGTCTAGTATTCTAAGTTTCTCACCTTTTTTATTCCAAAATTACTAGAAACAAAATCGGAATCTTGGAACTTGCTCTAAGCATAGAGGTCGTACCCAAATCCAAAACAAACCAGACGAATTGAATAATTATTACATCACTTCCTCATTCTCGGAGAGGATTCTGATTATTTACTCACACACACCAACACAACACCTAGATTTCTGTGTAGTACACACCGGTTTGGTTTGTGCATCAGCTGTGTCCTTTGGTAGGAAAATCTGTCTTGCGACGTTGCGAGATGGTACTGACGTCCGGTCAGGGTACTCCAATCTACTGCCAAGGTAGTACCACGATTTTTTATCTACACGCACACAGTAGCTATACAGGTTGGCCCCGTTTTTAGAAAAACTCTATATCAGGTCTCTGATTTTGAATTTTTCAATATAATCTTGTTATATAATCAATATTATTTTATTATTTTAGAAATATTTTTATAATGGACGCCACTATTACCCGTATATTTAAAAAGAAATGCTGTTAGAAAGTTAAATAGGAATATGCAGCTTTATTTGAACACTGGGTCGCCTAGCGTACTATTAAAAGCGATAATTAAGTTTAATTTGGACTAATTAACGCGCTCGGGACTCCAATTCGTTTGGGTTATAAAACGATGGGATAATTATTGTAGAAAGTTTTCTATACACAATGTCCCAAAGAACATAGTATAGAAAAAATAGATCATTTTCATTGTTTTGAAACATATAAAATATAGATTCAAAGAAAGATTCATAAGAAATATATTCAAATTTTTTATTTAAACCCTTTGATGTGATTAACTCCCCTCCCACTTATTCTACATACTAATTATAATTGTATTTTTTTGGGCTCTTAATTTATTTTTAATCAAATTTGTTCCATATATTTTAAAATAAAAAAATGTCGATACCTCTGTGGCGGATTCGTCTTTCCAAAAAAAACTATGGGTATTTCGCCACTGCAAGAAAATCTCTATAAAATAAAATAGTTATTTTTTTTGTAAACACTGCTGGCGTTAATCCAACGGAGACTAATTGTCAGCAGTGACTTACTAATAAACAAGTTTGCCTAACGGACAAAAAAATGCTTAACGTTTCGGAAAGTATATCGTACTCTTATTTCCGTCGTCGGAAGCAAAAAAATACAAAGAACAAAGAAAAAAACTATTTAAAATAGCTAAATGCAACTATTCGAGAAGACTTTAGTTTTTTAAAACGCAGATACGTCTACAAAAACTGTTGACCTGCTGTTGACGTTGCCAATAGTGTTGACGTTACAATAATGTAAAGAATAAAGTTTCTTTGCAACAGCATCTGGAGCATCTTAGGGCTACTCTGGCCACGGGATTCGGTGGTGTTAAGTTACAAGCTACATAAAAAAATATTTGGAAAGAAAATAATTACTTTATAGACATTTTTTTGTTATGTAGGAATCAGAGAAACTGCTTCCTTGCAAAATATTGGCAAGTATATGACGAATTTACACTCGATATTGCTGGAAAACGGCAGTCACGATACGAATTTGTTACAAACGGTCCGTGATATAGTGGCAAAGTTGGAGTTTAATGGATGACCAACAGTGAGGGCTTCGAAAAGGAAAAGAAAAGCAAAGAAGTTTTTTAAGCTAGTTGGCCCTAATTTATTTTATCATTTTTGACTCTGCATGGATGAATGTATTATTTTTACTTAGGGTTTAAGTAGAGTTGTTATTTTTTAATTAATTATTTTTATCATTGTGTACATGGGTAAAATTATTTATTTCTTTTTTTCGCAAAGCTCGTTTTATATTTTGTCATGTATTTAAAATTAATTTTTTATTTAGAAAAATGCATTTTTAAATTTTGAACCTTCACCATTTTGTCAAGAAGGTCAGAATTATTTTTGATATAGCAGAACTATTAATTCCCATGTATGAGTTATAACTCAAGGGCAACACAAAAATCTTTAAGGTCGCGGTGATTAACGTTACAATAATAATTATTTAATTATTCCCACTCATTTTCCACATACTAAATATAACTTTATTTTTTTGGGGTTCTTAATTTATTTTTAATCAGAGTTGTTCATGTATTTTAAATAAAAAAAATGTCTATACCTCTGTGGCGAATTCATCTTTCCAAAAAAGTCCTATGGGTATTTCGCCACTGCAAGAAAATCTACAAAATATTTTTTTGTAAATAACACTGCTGCGTTAATCCAAATAAAATAATACGTTAATTGTCAGCAGTGGCTTACTAATAAACAAATTTGCCTAACGGACAAAAAAATGCTTAACGTTTCGGAAAGTATATCTCTTATAAATAATAAAATTAATATTTTAAATTAATTATTTTAGAAAAATGCATTTTTAAAAAAATACCTTCACCATTTTGTCAAGAGCATAAAAGAACCGTAACCACAGAGGAGGAGTATAGTATAATTCTTCTTCTTTTTTAAATGTAGTGTCATAAGCATAGACAACCACAGATTAACAAAGATTTTCCTCTTCTTTATTTTGGACCCTTGCAAAATTTAACCGATTCAACGAAGCGACTTTCAAGGCGCTAAGAAAAATAGTAAACATAGCGATAAAATTATAAAAAATTGGAGAATTGTAGCAAATTTAATGTAGATTTAAAATATATAAACCATTAAAGGCTTAAATTTTTTTCTTTATGAGTAAATTAATTTTTTTGGACCCTTGCAAAATTTAACCGATTCAACGAAGCGACTTTCAAGGCGCTAAGAAAAATAGTAAACATAGCGATAAAATTATAAAAAATTGGAGAATTGTAGCAAATTTAATGTAGATTTAAAATATATAAACCATTAAAGGCTTAAATTTTTTTCTTTATGAGTAAATTAATTTTTTTGGACCCTTGCAAAGTAAACGTCCATATGAAAAAGTCAAGTTTTTACCAAAACATCGTATTTAAAAAAAAAAAAAAAAAACATAAAATTATAAAAATTGGAGAATTGTAGCAAATTTAAGTAGGATTTCAAATATATAAAACCATTAAAGGCTTCAATTTTTTTCTTTATGAGTAAATTAATTTTTTTTGACCCTTGCAAAATTTAAACCTATTCAACGAAGCGACTTTCAAGGCGTTAAGAAAAAATTAGTAAACATAGCGATAAGAATTATAAAAAAATTGAGATTTTTTTTTTTTTTTTTTTTTTTTTTAAATATATAAACCATTTAAGGCTTAATTTTTTTCTTTATGAGTAAATTAATTTTTTTGGACCCTTGCAAATTTAACCGATTCAACGAAGCGACTTTCAAGACGCTAAGAAAAATAGTAAAACATAGCGAAAAATTATAAAAAATTGGAGATGTGCAATTTATGTAGATTTAAAATATATAAAACCAAAACAAAACAAAAAAAAAAAAAATATGAGTAAATATTTTTTGGACCCTTGCAAAATTTAACCAATTCAACGAAGCGACTTTCAAGGCGCTAAGAAAAATTAGTAAACATAGCGATAAAATTATAAAAACTTGCAGAATTTTAGCAATTTAATGGAGATTTAAAATATATAAACCATTAAAGCATTAAATTTTTCTTATGAGTAAATAATTTTTTTTTTTTTTTTTTTAAAATTTAACCGATTCAAAGAAGCGACTTTCAAGGCGCTAAGAAAAGTAGTAACTAGCGATAAATTATAAAATTGAGATCTGTAGCCAAATTTTGTAGATTCAAATATATAAACCATTAAGGCTTAAATTTTTTTCTTTATGAGAAATTTAATTTTTTTCGACCTTGCAAAATTTAACCGATTAACGAAGCGACTTTCAGGCGCTAAGAAAAATAGTAAACCTAGCGATAAAATTATAAAAAATTGGAGAATCTGTAGCAAATTTTAAGTAGATTTAAAATATTTAAACCATTTTTTTTTTTTTTTAACTTTTTTTCTTTATGAGTAAAATTAATTTTTTGGCCCTTGCAAAAATTTAACCCGATTCAACGAAGCGACTTTCAAGGCGCTAAGAAAATAGTAAACATAGCGATAAAATTATAAAAACTTGGATAGTTGTAGCAAATAATGTAGATTTTAAAAAAAATAAACCATTAAAGGCTTAATTTTTGTTTTCTTTATGAGTAAATTAATTTTTTGGACCCTTGCAAAATTTAACGGATTCAACGAAGCGACTTCCAAGGCGCTAAGAAAAATAGTAAACATAGCGATTATAAAGATTATAAAAAATTGGAGAATTGTAGCAAAATTTAATTATATTTCAAATATATAAACCATTAAAGGCTTAAATTTTTTTCTTTATGAGTAATTAATTTTTTGGACCTTGCAAATTTAACTCATTCAACGAAGCGACTTTCAAGGCACTAAGAAAAATAGTAAACATAGCGATAACATTATAAAAATTTGGAGAATTGTAGCAAATAATGTAGATTTAAATATATAAACCATAAAGACTTAAATTTTTTCTTTATGAGTAAAATTAATTTTTATTTGGACCTTGCAACATTAACCGATTCAACGAAGCGAATTCCAAGGCGCTAAGAAAAATAGTAACATAGCGATTAAAATTATAAAAAACTTGGAGAATCGTAGCAAATTTAATGTAGATTTAAAATATATAAACCATTAAAGGCTTAAATTTTTTTCTTTATGAGATAAATTAATTTTTTTGGACCCTTGCAAAATTTAACCGATTCAACGAAGCGACTTTCAAGGCGCAAGAAAAATAGTAAACATAGCGTAAAATTATAAAAAATTGGAGAATTGTAGCAAATTTATTGTAGATTAAATATAAAACCATTAAAGGCTAAATTTTTTCTTTATGAGTAAATTATTTTTTTCTGGACCCTTGCAAAATTTAAACGATTCAACGAAGCGGGACGTTCAAGCGCTAAGAAATAGTACATAGCGATAAAATTATAAAAATTTTTTTTTTTTTTTTAATTTTAATGTAGATTTAAAAATATATAAACCATTAAGGCTTAAATTTTTTCTTTATGAGTTAAATTAATTTTTAACTCAATAAAAAAAAATTAACCGATTCAACGAAGAATTTCAAGGCGCTAAGCGAAAATATGTAAACATACACTGATAAAAATTATAAAAAATTGGAGAATTTTTTTTTTTTTTTATTTGTAGATTTAAAATAATAATTTTTTTTTTTTTTTTATTTTTTTTTATGAGTAAATTAATTTCTTTTGACCCTTGCAAAATATAAACGATTCAACGAAGCGACTTTCAACGCGCTAAGAAAATGTAACATGCGAATATATTAAAAAATGTGGAGAATTTTTTTAATTGTAGATTTAAAAATTATATAAACCATAAAGGCTTAATTTTTTTCTTTATGAGTAATTAATTTTTTTACCCCTTGCAAAAGTTAACCGATTCAACGAAGCGACTTTCAAGGCGCTAAGAAAAATAGTAAACATAGCGATAAAGTTATAAAAAATGGAGAATTGTAGCAAATTTAAGGTAGATTTAAAAATATATAAACCATTAAAAGGCCTTAAATTTTTTTCTTTTGAGTAATTTTTTTGGGGACCCTTGCCATCAAATTAGTCAAACCGATCAACGAAGCGACTTCAAGGGTCCTAGAGAAATAGTAAACATAGCGAAAAATATATAAAAAAGTTTTTTTTTTTTTTGGCAAATTTAATGTAGATTAAAAATATATAAACCAAACCAAAAAAAAAAAAATTAATTTAATTTAAATCAATTAATGTTTTAAATAATTATTTACCTTGTCCGATATTATTTGTTTCATAATAATTCTTAAATTAAAAAAAAAAAAACTAAATTTATTTTTTAATTGTCTAAGTAGGTGCCCGTACTGATAGAATCGTGTAGAATTGAGCCAAAATTTGATGCTGCGAGATTTTCACTCGTTATAAGTCTTCGGACTGTGCATTTCATTTGATTTAGTTTTTTTTCCGCAAAATGTGTAGTGGGTCTAGCGATTTGACCTCGTTGGCAAACTTTAACCCGTAATAACCTTTTTTGCCTAAGAAAAAATATAATCTACATTTTTCTCCATTTCGATAGAGAATTAAAAGCTCTATCTTTATGCAAAATTTTGCGCTCTATCGGAGCATACTCTTAATTTGGTCAAAATTTAGAAAGGGTTAGCTTTAGATTTTCAGAGCCGAAAAAATTAAAGTATCATCCGAAGAGCGCCAATTTGTCATAGATAGAGGCTTTATAATTCTCTATCGACTCAATGACCGAAAACATGTAGTGGCTATTTTTTCTTAGTTTTGTTTGAGACTCCTTTTACAAAAGAAAATCAACTCTTCGAGCCTCGTTTGGTCAAGTTTTTAATTATTTATTTTTATATAGTTTTAAAAATGCATTTTTAAAAAAAACCTTCACCATTTTTGTCAAGAAGATCAGAATTAATTTTGACTGTAAATTTTGTTGATGGTTGGCATCACTTTATACCATTTGAAATTTGACATATTGTGATACAGGGTGTCCCATTTTCGTGTGTTTTATGGGGACAACTGAATTTACTTTGATTTTCGAAGGAAATCAAGGCTTTGCAAATTCTTTTAATTATTTAAGCTTAATATTTTTTGATATTTTTTGTTTAATTTTTTGTCAATGAAGGCATTTATTTATTCATGACAATAAGTATAATTCGTAGGTGGGTATATATACAGCTTTCACAAAACAACGTGCAAGTGTAACATAATTCGAATATTTCTTCGAATCGAATAGCTATGGTTGGTTAGCTGCTCAAGTGGGCTGTGGAACTCTGGAGCAATCTGAAACAAAAATAAAATGAAATTGAACAGGTTGTGTTAACACTGCAAATAATCAATACAAAAAAAATTTAAATAATTTTAAATTCCCCTAATTTTACAACTAGAAATTAAAACTTAAACTTAAAAAAAAAAAAAAAAACTTTTTAAAAAATATAAATATTTTAAATTATAATAACTTTAATTATGTAAAACATTTGCTTTTAAAGAATGTAATTACAAATAACAGAATTTAATCATTTTATCTAAATTTTACATAAAAAAAATCGTTTAGAATTAAAAAAAATGAGATCAGTGTGATCAAAACGAAGTGTTCCCTATCGCAAGTCCGCGTTCTGTTCTATATCTTCAATGGGGATATACAAACAAATCCGGAAACCCGGAACACCAGATAATATGTTCCAATTAAGACAGTACTTGTTATAATTATAATTAAAAAAAAAAAAAAAAAAAAAAAAAAAAAAAAACTAATATAATTTTTTAACTAGTAATTAAATTTACCAAAGATGTTTGTAACTTTGCATAGTCAACATAAAATTATTGTAAGATTTAATATATTTTTATAGAAATATGTGTATAAATTTGAAATGTTTAAAGGCCAAAATGATGTTACGTAACATGTATTTTTTTTTAATTATTTATACAAAAAATATATACCAACTTTACTCCGATTTTATTGATTAATTTTGCTTTTCCCGAAAATTTAACGAAATGACATACATGTACTGATTCTTTCGAAAATCACAACGATGAAACTTAGATAATTAATTAATTAAAGATCTTTGTGTTCCCCTTTGATAACTCATTCATGGAATAGTACCGTGGGTACCTATACAGTAAAAATAATATTGACCATTTTTAAATTAAAAAAAAAAAAAAAAAAATGCATTTTTCTAAAAAAAATTAATTTAAAATATTAAATTTATTATTTTTACTATTTCTGTTATATATGCAG